CAGATCCGGGCGACACCGGCGTTGTCGGAGGCGTTCCTGGAGGAGTGATAGCTTCCACACTCGAAGACGACAGGCTGATCCGCCTGCTGGCTGGTAACTCCGGAGGAGTCCCAGACTCTACGGCTCCCTCGGGGGCCGCTGAACTCTCGGGGGCACCAAGGGCATCCCCAAGTTGTAACTCCAAAGTAAGCAAACGAACTGTAGCAGCGGCTTGCTCCTGAGCAAGCAGGGCTGCTTGGAGCTCTGCCTCCTTGCGTGCCCTCTGTTGGGGCGTCCACTTCTCGACAGCCACATTGGCGGCTGCCTTCGCCGCTGCCGACGCTCGCTCCTTCTCCGCCAAGTTCTTGCTGGCGGCAACCATCTTGAGCTCTTGCTCCCTCAGCAAAGCCACTCCTTCGGCGGCCTTGTCTCTCTCGCCCTCGTTGTGGTCCTTCTTGTCCTCGGCGACCTGGTCCTTTTCTCGTGCACGGCGCTCCTTGGAGCCTTTCTTCTTCTCCTTCTTCTTGTCCTTCTTCTTCTTCTCCCGAGGAGTCTCCGGTGGTGTCTCGGGCGGCGTCTCCGGGGGTCCAGGCGGCACCACAGGCGTCCCCGGTGGAGGCGGGCTCGCAGGAGGGCCTGGCACCGCCTTCCATTTCCCCCAATCGTCGGCCTCGTTGCCCTCCTGAGTGGGAGCGGGAGGTTCTCCAGAAGGCAAGGCCGGAGAAGTTAGGGAGTGAAATCCTCGGTGGAGCAATTCCTTCGAATCGCATCTGTTCATTGCCACTAGTTCTTCGGCCTCTCGCCTCTGCTCTACGCTGCGACTCAGCTGCAGCTTCTGCACCAAAGACTGTCGCCTGCTGGATGCCGCTGTCTGCATCGCTCTGAGATCTTGCCATCTCTCGGACATAACCATCATCTGGGCCGGCTCCTTCTCCTGAGCGACCCCTTCCGGCCCCATCTGGAGCAAAAGGGCCCTCTTCTTGACACACAGTCCCCGTCGTAACGGAGATGACTCCATAGAGAAAAATCACCCACCGCAAGGCTCGAGACAGAACCGCGGCAGAAGAGATACGTTTCTGCTTGCTTTTACGTGTCCCTAATGCACCTGCACTTGCACACTCCGGACGACAGGCAGCTTCCGAAAACCCTGCACACTCACTCCTACAGGCAGTCTCCGAAAACCCTGCGCACTCACTCCTACAGGCAGTTTCCGAAAACCCTGCGCACTCACTCCTACCGGCAGTTTCCGAAAACCCTGCGCAAACCTTCACTGAAGCAGCTTCCGAACCACAGGCTCTCACAGTACTCTGAGGCGTTGGCGGCAAAGGCTCTACACTCACACATGCACTCGCACTCCTACCGCTCCTACGGCATGCTTCGGTGTGTGTGGTGCTTGCTTGCTTAAGCGAAACGGCTGCGGACGAAACACAGACTTCAGAACCTACCACACAACCCGCACACAGCTCTTCAGAACAAACTGCAGGCACTACCTCAGTCTCAGCTGCTACTTCTGCTGCAGAAACACACTCGCACGAAAACTCACTGCAAAAGGCTCGCAACAAGAACTTGAAAGGAGTCACTTCCAAAGCTCTCTGCGGATGCTTGTTCGGATGCGCCTTCTCCTTGGCGCGGTCCACTTCCATTGCATCTCCCGTGTCGTCGTCTTCTTTCCCAAACTTCGGTGGGGTACCTTTGGGCACTCCTGCTTTGGACTTCGCTTTCGCCTTAGCTCTCGCGGGGCCGATCTCCTGGGCCATTGCCCACCAGCTCCTGGCTTCCGTCTCTAAGGGAACCCAAACCCAGGAACCCTTCCCATTCTGCTTCATCAAGCAACTCTCTCCGGGTGTGGCAGTGAACCAAGAACACCAACCCGAAAGCGACGCCTGCCAAGAACTGATCACATTGAAACCAATCTGACAAACCAGGACCTTCTGAAGCACTACAGGCCCTAGCCTCCCAAACTTCACACGGATATCGACCAACCCGAGGCATTCCATCTCGGTGTCGCTAGCACTCATCAAGACAGGCAGCGGTCCCGAATGCTCCTTCACGACTTCGTAAAACGACAAAGAAGCAACAGACAACACGTGGCACGTGGCTCCACTATCAACAAGCCACGCAAAGTGACTGTTCCTCGAAGAGGACTGGTTCAGCTTCTCTACTTCCTTATCCGTCATGGTGAGACGTGGGGGCTCAGCATCATTGGGCTCATTCTTCACTGCTTTCCCTGGGCGCATGCCCCTGAGACGATGAAATCTCAAGGCCATCACTTGCTCCGACGGCTCGTCTTCAACAGCGCGTCCCTTGGACTTCGCTTTCGGCTTCGCCTTTGGCTTTCCCCACTTTCCTTTGTCCTTGCCCTTCTCGCCCTTCTTGTCGCCTTTGCCCTTTCCTTTGGGCTCGCCTCCTCGACCGCCACCACCAGAGGGCTTTCCACCCTTGCCTTTGTCTTTGTCTTTGCCTTTTCCTTTGCCACCCTTCGGTGGTTCAGGACACTGCCAACTGTAGTGACCAGCCTTGCCGCAGTTCCAACACAAACCCTTGTCACCAACAGCGTGAAGGGCTCCAGCGTCGCAAAGCCTGGTCTGTTCCTCAAAGAACCGGATGCTCGTCACAAGCTCTTCCCAAGTTCCAGACTTGCCGTGCAAAACAACGTAATGCCGGCACTCAGGGTTGACAGATTGAAGCAAAATGGTTAGGCGATCCGAGCCGCCGGGCTTCAGCTCCGGAAAACGATGGAGCTTCTGATCCACTTTGCCCAGCTCATCCTCCAAGAACCGGACCACATCAAGCGGCCTCTTGTAGGTTCGGGCTCTGGCAGGCAACTTCAGGGCCTCATCTCTCACTGCAATTGCCTCCATTCTTGAGACAATGCTGAAAGTCGCATGCATTTGCCGCATGACTTCGTACCCACAAGCAGCTTGAGCTTGCCGCATGGACGTGCTTCTCACAAGCTCCATGCCTCTCTCAAACTTCTGCAAACTCTGTTGAAGGTAGTAAAACAACCGAGCAGACCTCGAAGCCACAGGAGCAGACATCTCTGACTGCTTGATCTCCCTGTTGTGCACCATTGCTTGGCGCAACTCGTTGACGTAGTTGTCGTCTATGAGCGCCAACCATGACGCCAAAACTTCACACCAACGGTGGTACTCTTCCAGCTCTTTCACACGCCCTTTCCCCATCGATGGAGCGTCGATGGTGGGCAAAGCAGGGAGGTACTTCTCAGCTCTGTTGCTTCCTACGTGCACCGACGGACCAGCAGACGCTGGAGGTGGAGGAGCAGTAGCTTTAGCTGACGGACTTCCAGCCGCAGCCGTCGAACCAAAGGGGTCAGCTACAGCTGCAGAGGCAGCCTCAGCTTCTCGCCTTCTTCTCTCATCTGCGTCCATCCTAGCCATCATGACCTGGAGCGTCTGCTGTTGCATCTGCATCATATTCAGCATCAACTGCTGCAGCTGTGGGTCCAGACCAACTGTCGTCGTCACTGCAGGTGGAACCGGTGCTTGCTGTGGCACTGGCTGCGGTGCCTGCTGCGGTCCAACAGTCGGGACAGGCTGAGGTCCTGGGTTCGACGGCTGACTCGCCTCTCCAGGACTCGGACCAAACAGTTCAAAGTCGTCCTCCTCAGGCACTGGGGTCGCGGCACTTTGGGCAGGGTCAGCCATGGCTTCTCTACAGCTACGAGCGTGCTACACACGCTCCGCTACCATGTGAAAACACAGCAGCAGCGCGCTGAACCCTCTTTTTCTCACGGCTTGAGCCAAAGTCAGCAGCCGGAGGCTTTGTCTGTGCAACTGGCCACAGATATTCCATTTGCCATAGCACTGCAAGTGAAACACTGCTCAGCCACGTGTTCTCCACAACTGCAAAACAAACTCAAACGTCAGTGGGAGTTCTCGGGACCTACTCAAAACTAGTGCAAGCAGAACTACAGCTACACAGTCACTCCAAACGTAGTTACACCAAGGAAAAACACTTCCCTACACTCTCAAGCACTTCAAAAGGCTTTCCACTGAAAGCAAGCTCGTCAGTCAAGCCTCCAAGGCAAAACTTTCAGCTAAAACGACTCACACCTGAGCAGGCATGCAGGACAACCAAAGTAACATGTCTTAAACATGAACTTTTACAGTCTTGGAAGGTTTCAAGATTTGTGGACAAACAATTCCAAAATTGTACCATCGTGCAAGGCCATTTTCAGTGTTCGAAAAACAACGCAAACTGTAGGACGCATCAAGGTACCCCCATAGTCAGTTGCCGCCTTGCTTGCCATGCTGTGGTATTTATGACAAGTAGTTGTCATGACATCATGGTCAACAGTCTCAAGCTGACCACTCACAGACCCTGCGCATAGCTACAAGGTTGTTTTTCGAGCAAAGTTCCAATCCAATTGGGAGCGTCCTTGTCCAAAGACTTGTGCTGCTTAAGCACCATTGTTTGCCACTGTAACTAAACACCACCTGTGCGCCTTGTAGATGCGCTGCTCGGATCAGAGCTCGTGCCTCAAGGTTTTCTCAAGTCAGCTGCGAGAAGGAGAAAAGGAAAAAAGTCAACTCCACTAGGCCTAACCAGCAAAGTGTGAAACAGTCTAGTTCGATGCTGCGATCCGGTGCCAGGGCTTGCGTCGCCAGCGTGTCAACAGACACTTTTAGAGCAGAGGAAGATTAGGAACGGTTCTGTCTCAGGAGACGGTGACGCCGCCGAGGGTGCAGTGCTGGGCATGCTTTTCAGATGTTTTGCAGGACTCTCAACAGGGAGTCACGAAGCACTACGGTCTTCCGGCGTGCGGTGCTTGCAAGCTGGGTGGCTCTTGCCACACGGCTCGCCGCTGCGCGGTTTAAACGCGCATGCGTGCAGATACTTACACAGTGCATTGCGACAATTGCCCTTGTTCCGCCAGCTCCTCGCAAAGGCACCAGAGTGCTGGGTTTGACATGCTTGGTGCCGGGCTGCCGAGACTTGTCTGGCACTTGCTGTGCGAACCTTGTGAGGTCGAAGCGGCAACAGAAGAGCAGGTGGAGCCGCTACAGTGTGATCACAGGTGGTGAGACTGGATCACTCGATGTGCAGGGCTGCAAAGGGGGTGCCCGGACCAAGCTGCGCAGCAGTGCAAGGCGGTCTGGTTCAGTTAGACCACCATAGCGGGTGGCGAAATCGAGCGAGATCGCTTCACCATGCGGGGGAATGGGCAGAGGTGATTCAGGGGTGCTTGCAGGGAAGAGTGCCCTGCGCGGGGTGCTGTGCATGACTCGCTGCGGCGGTCTTGCTAAGTCTGCGACAGATGGGCAGCGTGGGTAACCTGGCGGTGCTGCTTTGCTCTGAGGTGCCAGTGCCAGAGCAGTGCGACCTGCACCCTCAGATGAGCTAGATGCGGGGTCCCCACGACAACGTGGGAAGTAACTGTGCAGGTCATTGGGGCCTGTAAGGTCTACAACTTCAAACCTCTGGGCGAGGTCCGAACTCGGTGCTTCGGAAACTCGGTCCTCGGATGCATTGCTGTGCTCCGTGGCTTGGCGCAGGGCTGACTGGGCCGCCCAACGACGCCTCATTGCGAGAGCATGCAAAAGCTAAAAGGCATACTTGGATATACAAGGTTTGAGCCAAGCCATGCAGCATGCGGTGCAAGCAGAAAGTCAGCAACTGTGCGAGGCAAGCAGATAGCTTCGGCAGGGCCATACCGAAGCAGCGAGTGCCGGGTCCAGGCCGCCGGCAAGAAGAGCAGGATCACGATTTCCACGAAGTACCTGGCATGTCCAACATGCTACGCTGCTACATCATGTTCTGGTTCACGAGGTGTTTGTGCTTGTATGTCCTCCACACATGCAAACATGTCATGTTGCGTGGTATGTACATGCGCGTGACTGCCACATCATTCTTGTGACATTGGGTGGCTGTTTCTGAAGTCGTGTTGTTCGCATGCACAGGGCTTAGGTTTGCGTGTTTGACAAGGTACACATCTTGGTTCGGTGCTGTGGTGTGTTTTGTGTCGTGACACAGGCCCTGGGAACGACGACGATGCTGGGCTGGACACGCCTTTGGCAAGAAACGTCGCTCTCTCGCTCTCTCGCTCTCTCGCTCTCTCGCTCTCTCGCTCTCTCGCTCTCTCTCCCTCGCTCTCTCGCTCTCTCTCGCTCTCTCGCTCTCTCGCTCTCTCGCTCTCTCGCTCTCTGGTTCTCTCTCTCTGGCTCTCTGGCTCTCTGGCTCTCGCTCTCTCGCTCTCTCGCTCTCTCGCTCTCTCTCGCTCTCTCGCTCTCTCGCTCTCTCGCTCTCTCGCTCTCTCTCTCTCGCTCTCTGGCTTTCTGGCTCTCTGGCTCTCTCGCTCTCTCTCTCTCTCTCTCTCTCTCTCTTTCTCTCTCTCTCTCCCTCTCCCTCTCCCTCTCCCTCTCCCTCTCCCTCTCCCTCTCCCTCTCTCGGGAGTCCGCGCGGTTTTTGCAGTCACGGATGGTGGGGGGCAAAACGACGGTGCTTCGTTAGTCTTGGATGGCTATTGGTTTGATGTTCTTGCAGGTGGAACATGTTGTGCATTCGAAGCTGATGCTCCACGTGCAACATCGAGTTTGGTTGCTGGGCTCCTTTGTGCCTTTGAGCGGAAAACGGAAAACACATGCAACCGACAAGCTTCGTTTTGCTCGCGTTGGACTTGGCTCGATCTTTCTAAATCGCTCAGAAGCAAGATTGTGTTTGTTCTTCTTTCAGTTCGGCGTGTCGGAGTCTATGTGCAAACCAGAATCATGGCGCAACCACATTTTGCATCATAGTTTGTGATGGTGTGTCGAAGCATTCTGGGCCAACGTCGGTTCCAACATACCGGTCCCAGATGAGTCGAAGCTTTGATAGTGATAGTGGTTGACCAAAATAGTGGTAGTGCAGCAGTGCAGAGCTTCAGCCGCTTCAACAGCGTCAATATGCAAGGGCATCTGAGCAATGGGTTTACGAAGGACAAAAGCGATCAGCCCGTGTTAGATTTGGCACATGGCCGAAGACGAAGAGCGCCCTGAGAAGCGTAACGTCTGACCCCCAACGACTGGGAGTCAAAAGTCCTTGGTTCTGGCGACTACAGCAAAGTTCTTCCTCACAGTCAAGTGCCATTTGTGAACAGACACAGCGAGCTCTTCGACCTTTTTCCATGTGAATGCGGCTGTTATTCTCAAATTGCTCGATTGTCGGCGCGACAAAGAAGACATTGATGATTGGCGGCCATGCAGCGTGGCTGTAGCTGCGCAGATGTTTGGCAGTGGAAAAACCACGCTCGCTGTGCGTTTGTATTTTTAGTCAGCAGTGTTTTCTATGTGTTCTCATGATGCAACGCACCGCGCCGGTGGCTCGAATGGGAAACAACATAGGAACACTGCAGATGGGCCGCGACCCCACAAGCATATAGAAATTTTTTCACGCAATACAGCATCGCAGCAACCGTTCTCTTGCATTGCACTTTTTGCAACACAGCACTGCAGCCATTTGGCCTTGCCCTGCATGGCCTCCTCTTTGGCTCCCCCAGATTCGCCACGCACCGCTCGGCTTGTGAAGGCCATTCAGGAGCTCGCACATGATACTCTTGAATGTGCAACGCAGTTGCACATACGCATTGATGAGCTTAGCATTCGCGTAGAAAACCTTGAGGGTTACATTCAGGCACTTGAGCGCCGCATTGTGCAAATCGAGGGTCTCCCAGAGTGCACTGATGCTCTGCCTGAAGCACCGCCTGGCATTTGTTTGCATGAGCTTGACCACCGCCAGGGTAACAAGAAGCAACGCGTTGCCACGCCTGAGCCGGCGGCTCCGCGGCACAGCACTGCCGTCTTGGTCTGTTTGTGTCGCACAGCACCTGCATTGCAGCATGTTTTTTCTGTTGCAGAGCGCCTCTCGAGATCCAGCATCAGCCCTCGCCTTCTTTTGCACCGCACTGCTTTGAGCATTGCACCGCCATGTCCAGCCTCAGCACTTGCCTGCAGATCTTGATGCAAGAAGACAGCGCTGCAAGGGTGGGAGCTTTTCGCAACATGACTGTTGCACAGCTCGCACAGCTTCGCATGGACCTGGACACGGCAATGCAAAGCTCTGCCTCGGCCGCACAGCCCCGCACTGCACCGCCTGCTGAGCCACCTCAGGCGGAGGATCCTTGGGACCGTGCAGCACCGAGCTTTGATCAGCACGACGCACCGCCCTACGTGGCACCGCACGGCAAGGGCGGCAAAGCCCCGCAACGCTGGAGCTATCATGACTTCGATCAAGCCCGGCACCGCCAAGAACAAGAGCGAAGCTGGGCGGACCCTCCAGGATGAGGAGGAGCAACGCAGAGAGCTCTGGGCACGGCTTGAGGAAGAAGTACAGCAGCACCGCAGAGGTCGCACAGGTGCATGGGGCGACGCTCGCCCGGCAGGGTGGGGGAACCCCCCACCGGCACCGCACCGTTTCCCACCGCCGCCTGCCCCGCACAGCTTTCCACACCCTGCCCCCGCACAGCAAAGCGACCGCTTCCACCGCAACCCACCCCGCAACGCACAGTTCGTCGAGGCCTCCAGCAAGGTCCTTACGGAAATCCGCTGGGTGCACGGCCACGACGGCGTTTATAGACCTATTTTTAAGCACAGCAATACCGGGAAGCTTTGTTGCGCGGCCCGGTGTGAAAACGTGCACTGCCAGTATGGAGGAAGAGCTTGTGAAAAGCCGCTCCGCACTCCACTGGAAAGCGATATGCACGAACCGCACCGTTGAACCAAATGCAAGGACCTCGGCGCATAGCGCGGCATGGCTTGCATCGCACCGCCTCGCATAGGAAGCTGATCTTGCATCGCATTGCACAGAAAAGGCTCTTGATTCGCACCGCAGGGCAGAGCGTGAAACACAAGCGAGCAGAAAGAGCGAGCGCGGCCTAAGCAGTGCCAAGAGCAAGAAGCAGCGCTGTGACAGGTCCTGTCAAACAGTGCGGGAAATTGGCTGGGCTTTGGAGTGCAGGTGGGGGGCGGTACACATGCACCACACATGGTCACACAGTCACACCGTCACACGCGCTCACATGTGACACATGTGCACAAGGTTCTGTCTTGCATGTGCATGGGTTGTCTTGTTTTCTGCTGCTCTGCTGTACTGCGGAGTGTATGTTGCAGCAGCTGACGAACAGTGCAGTGCCAGTCCCAGCCTGTGTGTGTGTGTGTGTGTGTGCTGAGAGTCTGTTGTCCTGCTTGCGTTTTAATTTTAAGTAGCAGCGACTGGAAGTTAGGCAGTGACAGTACAGTGACTTTGACAGTGACAGTGACAGCAGTGCCAGTGCCATGTCTTCAAACTTCAAGCTGAACCGTACAGAGTGAAGGCCGTGCCCCAATGGTCCTCAACAATACCAAATCGATCGTTGGACTTTAGATTGTCAAAAGCCAAAGCAAGAATCCGCTGCGGCTGTGGCAGTGTTCAATCCTTGAATTCACAGGGGCTCCGTGGAAATCGTGCAGAATCTACGTTTTCCTTAATTTGGCTTGAATTTGCTTGCGTCCAGCAAGTTTCCAGCGTTTTTGCTCTGATGTCAGTGATGACCCATCGAAGCCCCCCCCCCAGCAAGCTAGGCTGGCAGGGTGACCAGCAAAGGTTCAATCAGGCGACCCCCTTTTCCTCCATTCAGGTGTCCATTTCCCCCGGAACCCCCCCAATGCGCCCCAAATTCCGAGGCAGGAGAAGGCTGGAGCAGGCGCCTCGCCCGTGGGAAGTTTGGTCCCCTGAGCCACCCGGGTTTGGGAACAGGGATGGTTCTGGCAGTTTTTTTAGTCATTTCCATCAATTTTAGGCAAAACCACGGTTTCTCCATTCCATTTGCTTATGGTACCAAGCAATTTGGCCACATTTTGTTGTTTCCTGTGATATTTGCCGTTTCCGCACTGCTGTGAGCCTTTGTGGCTTGGGACCCCAGCATTGCCTTTAAAAATGATCAACTGTGGCCAGGCCATGCCGGCCACCGGCCCCAGCCCCAGGCTGGGCCCCAGGAGCACAGAATGGCACAGAACTGTACACTGCACTGCACAGTATACTGTCTTCAGCAACTCAGCAACCTGGCTAGATCTTGCTTGAACAGAACTTGCAGAGGCTCCATGGCAAAGGAGCTAAAGCAGCTAAAGGCTTGATTCAAGACTGTTCCAATTGAAGCCCCAGCACAGTTGCCACTGTCCTATAAGAATTGGAGGAGGGTCTCAGCATGTGTGCAGACGTGTCAAGACTTTGTGTGAAGCTGCAGTTGTCTTACAAGCTCCGCTTCGTCCGCCAATCCGCAAAACCTTCAATGCTTTACCAGCACGCCTTGTCCACCAAGCTACGAAACAAACAACGTGTGCGCAGGGTGTCATGTAAAGCGGCTCTGGGAGTGGAAGCAACCGCGGGTTCAGAGTTGGGGGGTAAGTCAAGACTCAAAACAGGCCTGGCATGTCCAAGACTTGGGTGCCAAAATTTATGATGCGCGCGCATCATAAATTTTGGCTACAAAACCTTGCTTCAAACGTCGCCCAATCTCTTATATGCCATTATTCGCCCAGGGCGAAAGTCGGGCAGCTGTTGCATTGTGACAGTGCTTCATGTGACAATGCTGTCCATGTCAGTCATGTGTGCAATGCAGTGCAGTGTGTGGCATATCAAACTCATGCTGTGTCCAAGTGCAAGCGTCGTGTTCGTTTGAGAGACAGCCTGAGCCAGAGTCAGTCAGAGCCAGGGTCATGTTTCAGACATTTCAGACTGTTTCATGTGTGGCGGTGTGGCATATGTGCTTTGCAGTTTGCAGTAGGGCAGTGTGCAGGGAGGGGCTGCAAAAGTGTGGCCAGGCAAAAACAGCAGGCAACTCTGTTGATTCTGAAGCACAGCTAACGAACAATGAACAAGGTGGGCATTTCTGTGCGACGCATAGTTTACAGTCACACTTGTAGCTGTTCTAGCTGGGCGTGCCAGATCCATGGTTTCTGTCGCAGAACCAGGCCTCTCAACAGAGGGGCAGCACCCCTTTGCGGAAGGCGCAACAGACGACAGCAGCCGGCCAAGGTCGCCACTTAACACACGAGAGCTGTTTCAGTGGCCACAGCGTGTGGCTGCTGCCTTGGACCCAGCAGAGCTGTGCAGATTGCGCTCGATTTTGCTCAGTGACGTGGTTGTGTTTTCAGATTACTCCGGCTACGGCTCGGAGAGGGAGGCGCTCACATGTGTGCTTCGTGCTATTTGCCAGCATTATGGTTGGCACCTGGAGAAGGACCCGTTCATTTATGCAAGGAGCTGTGACATTGGACAGTTGCCCCAGCAGGTCTTGCAAGCGCTAGCAGAGTCGTCTGGTGTCAAGTCTCGCCCATGTCTGTTTGCAGATGTAGTGGAGCACTGTGCTCCTCAGGCTGTGTCGTGGCTTAGGGCTGGTGTGCCGGCAGAGGATTGCTCCATGGATGAAGCTGTGAAGGCATACAATACAATCATGGAGTGGCTACTTGCCAATCGTTCTTGGGTCTTTCCTTTGGACGGGAAGCAGGCTTGCTTGGTTCATAAGAAAGCTTGTCCGGTCTGTCCAATGGCAGGTTGGGCTGCGCGAGTGCAGCATTTGCGGGACCTGCAAGGTGCGCAGAAGCGGAAGCGTGACGAAGCTTTCCTTCATGATCAGGCTAAGGCCGAGGCAGTGGAGGATGCAGGATCCGCTAACTTAGCCACGACTGTGCCTGCTGAAGCTTGTGAGACCACTGCAGAGGGCAATGGAGAGCATCTTGCATTTGATCGCCCGCTGTCAGTATGTTTTGCTGGCGTATCCTGTGACGGGTGGAGTGTCATGGGTTCGCAGAAACGGTTTGCTCACCACAGCGAGCTTCCTCACAATGTTTTCGTAGCAGAGAGGGTCGCTCGTGCTGAACAGGGCGTTGAAGACGTGTGCTTTGTTGAGTGTACGGCGAAGTACCCATGTGAACAGAAGTTGAAGTTGTCGCAGCCCATGGCTGGTTCGCATCATGTGCTGCACTTCCGATGCAATCCTCTTTCCTTTGGTTTCCCTGTGAGTCGACCCAGAGTGTTTGCAGCTTGTTTGAACCTGCGTTCAGTGGTGTGGGTGGGGCCAAAAGATTGGGAGCAGGATTTTGCCAACAAGTTCTACTCATCATGTGCAGTATCCGGTGATGCTTTGCTTGTCTCGACACCAGAAGAGCGAGCCTCGGTGTATCGAGAGATGGCCCAGTTGCAGAAAAACTATTGGGGGTGTTCTCTACCATAATTTGTAGGCCTCTACTATGACAGAAACCCTGGCGACTCCGTGCCGGCAACGGCGCTTACAACAGAAACTGTAACGGAAGGTAGTGGTGCCCACAGTGGTGCTGTAACGGATTTGTCGCGGAGCTGTAACGGACCTGCAACGGAGCTGGAACGTAAGCTGTAACGGAGCTGTAGCGGAGCTGTAGCAGAAGCTGTAACGGAGCTGTAGCGGACCTGCAACGGAGCTGTAACGGAGCTGTAACGGAAGCTGTAACGGAGCTGTAACGGAGCCGTAGCAGAAGCTGTAACGGAGCCGTAACGGACCTGCAACGGAGCTGTAACGGACCTGCAACAGAGCTGTAACGGAAGCTGTAACGGAGCTGTAGCGGAGCTATAGCAGAAGCTGTAACGGAGCTGTAGCGGACCTGCAACGGAGCTGTATCGGAGCTGTAACGGAGCTGTAACGGAAGCTGTAACGGAGCTGTAACGGAGCTGTAGCAGAAGCTGTAACGGAGCTGTATAATAACGGACCTGCAACGGAGCTGTAACGCAAGCTGTAACGGAGCTGTAACGGAGCTGTAGCAGAAGCTGTAGCGGGGTTGTAACGGACCTGCAACGGAGCTGTAACGGAAGCTGTAACGGAGCTGTAACGGAGCTGTCGCAGGAGCTGTAACGGACGGAAGCTGTAACGGAGCTGTAACGGAGCTGTAGCAGAAGCTGTAACGGACCTGCAACGGAGCTGTAACGGACCTGCAACGGAGCTGCAGCGGAGCTGCAACGGAAGCTATGACGGAGCTGTAGCAGAAGCTGTAGTAGCGGGGCTGTAACGGACCTGCAACGGAGCTGTAACGGAAGCTGTAACGGAGCTGCAACGGAGCTGTAGCAGAAGCTGTAGCGGAGCTGTAACGGACCTGCAACAGAGCTGTAACGGACCTGCAACGGAGCTGTAACGGAAGCTGTAACGGAGCTGTAACGGAGCGGTAACTGAGGGCCCAGGGTGGGTAGCGCAAATCCCATAGTAAATGATGGTAGAGAACACCCCCAAAAAAACTACGTAGCCCCAGAGACAAGCTGGGATAGCTTGTCAGCAGCAGACGTGCTAGCAGCAACATTGCCCCCAGGCCAGCAGCAGAGAGCATCAAAGTGTTTAGACTGTCGCCAGCGCATGGAAGGATCGTGTGGCAGCTTTCTTTTCGATGCCGACCACCATGTCGAAATGCGGAATATGGGAGGCCCTTACTGGCCTTGCCTTCTGACTCACGGCTGTGTCGTGTCTGCGCCCAGACAAGGAAGGGTTCGTATCGCGACCCCTGCTGAGCATTTTGCGGTGCAGGGGCTTCACATTCTGCCTGGCGCATGTCAGGACAATCCAGCAAGCCCGCTTGCTCCAATTTTGCTTTCGCTGAAAGGTCACCGCGTGAAGCAGCTGAGTGGCCGTGGTGTTCACTTAGCTGTGCTCAGTGCTTGGATGATGTACATCTTGATTCAATATCGTCCCAAGAAGCAAGGCACTCACTTTCTGCAGGCTTGGCACTTGGGATACACCGGCCCAGGGCACAGATTCTGATGCAGCAGAAGAAGATGATGAGATTGAAGATGTCGCATGTCCTCTGCCCTTTGAGTGGGGGCCTGCAGATTAGCTTCGTTTGCATTTTGCAATATCCAAGAAAGCTTCAGCCTGCTTTATGTTTGCAGGGAGCATGCGACGCGCTGTGCAGTGCAAGTCATGGCATCACGATGTCACGACCGCGACCATTTGTTCCTGACGACAAACAAAGTGCATTGAGCTGACATAGGATGAGTCTGAGAGTCGTGCAGATGTTGTGTAAGCCACTATCAGTGTGCCATGTAATGCCTTGTCTGAGAGTTGAAGATCTAGACACTTTCAACCCCCCTATTTGGGGCTCCAAACTGTGGGGTTGGCAAACCTTGATTTTGGGCGCCGTCAAGCTCGACCACACAGAGGCCTCCAAAGCAGCTCCCATGCAAGGCCCCAAATCGAGGCCCCATGTAGGCTCTTCGCAGCTCGTGTTGCTGTTTGGTTGTTGTGGTATTGTAGTACTGTATCGATCTTGTATTATTCGGCCGTCGTGGCAGGCCTCAGTGTTGCAGGGTCGTATCAGTCGAGTCGAGTCATATGTCAGACGATGCAGCAGCCCTCTGTGGGAGTGACTTGCCTTTGCCGTGACGCTCTTTCGTGACTGTTTCTTACGAAGCTCAAGCCTCCAACATCTAGGATTCCAGGACATGGTCCCGCACAGAAGTACAGACTGACGCCTTCAAGTGTTTCACAGTGCCAATGCTGAGCGCTGATCCATTGCGAGGTGCTAGATTCCACAAACTGTACATCCAGTGTCCTGTGTAACTACGGTTGTAGTTGTAGCTCCCCTTCCGACCTAAACTATAATAAGTACAGCGTACAATTTCGAAGGACCCCATAATCTTTGACCTATCTCACTTCGTAAATCCGCACTGCTTCCTCTTGCCCTTGCTGTCGCTGTGCAGCTGTGCCCAGCAAAACAGCATCATGGATACGGACTTCGACGAGGCTCTCTTGGCTATGGGTGGGAACTCAGACGACGACTCGGCTTCTGAAGAGGGTTCACCAGCTTCTGAACAACAGGGTAGCGTATCGAATCATCCTTCCGGCCGGCAGTCGTGGAAACAGCTGTGCGCGACCAGCAAACTCAAAACGACACGTTTGATTAACTCATCCCAGACCCATCTGCAGCGCAAGCGCTAGAACGAGTTGGTTGGCGTGCTACCCAAAACGGACGCTGCGGAGCGAAGCACAAAACCTTCCAAAAGCTACAGAAATCGCTCCTCCTTTGGCTTTTCTGTGTTCTCCTCGCTTCTTCCTCGGTTCTCCTCGCTTCTCCTCGGTTCTTCCTCGGTTCTCCTCGTCGCTTCGTTGTCCTCTAATTTTCAATCTTCCAAGCTTTTTATTATGCAGGCCCATAGCAACCATAGTAGCGATGTTTTGCAGACGGTTGGAACCTGGTGGCATCCCTGCATTTTGGTTATCTGTGAGGATTCTGTGCCTCTTCTGTGACTTCTTGCATTCTGGCGCTTGCGCTTGCTGCTGCTGCGTTCCACAGTGGGGCAGGCTGTTAAGTGACCTGAGTGAATCTGGCGCCGCAATGTGTTTCAGCAGTTTCCCAAATGCTGACGGCTTGAGGGTATGCAGCATATGAAGTTTAAGCTTGGGCACGCGAAAGCTTCCAGGCGCATCGGGATTTGTCCCTTTCCCAAGTGTTGGCATACTGCCATCTCCTCCCTGTCCGGACTGGTGTCATTACCAGGCGACAGAAGTGCAGCATTTCTTGCGCATCCACGAGCTGACCCCTCTGCCTGCTCTCAGGTACCCACATCTTCATCACCTGAGAACGGAGTGGCTCCTGCGGGTGACCAGGGGATTTCGGCCCCTTCGGGGAGACCGCCGGCCCCCTCGGTCCTACACCTGGTGGTGTACAGATGATGACAAACAGGCTGGAGTATGTCATCCTACATACTCTCGGATCCTGGGTGAGAACTGTTACGTGCTATGCTTTCGGCTGACTGCTGATCCATGATCTGTGTAGTGTAGTAAGTGATACTACTTTGACTTGGCTATTCACTGCTGGAGGCCATGCTCCCACGGTCGCTCACCTACTCCACTTTTGATAGTTCCCATCTAGCTTCGCCCTTAGCTATGGCGATGTGTATTCACAGTTTTTATTAGCCGCACTGAATTCATTCTGAGTTCGGCGTGTTGCCTTCGCCTCGCAAGGGACCAGCTGACGGTTCTGCGATCGTCACTCCCTCACTCCCTCACTCCCTCACTCCCTCACTCCCTCACTCCCTCACTCCCTCACTCCCTCACTCCCTCACTCCCTCACTCCCTCACTCCCTCACTCCCTCACTCCCTCACTCCCTCACTCCCTCACTCCCTCACTCCCTCACTCCCGCCCCTCATCCCTCACTCCCTCCTCCCTCTCTCTCTCCTCTATCTCCCTCTCTCTCTCTCTCTCTCTCTCTCTCTCTCTCTCTCTCTCTCTCTCTCTCTCTCTCCCTCTCTCTCTCTCTCTCTCTCTCTCTCTCTCTCACTCCCTCTCTCCCCCTTTCCCTCTCCCTCCCTCACCTCCTCACTCCCTCACTCCCTCACTCCCTCACTCCGTCACTCCCTCACTCCGTCACCCCCTCACGGCGTCACCCTGTCAGTCTCTCACTCCTTCGCTCCGTCACTCCCTCACTCCCTCACTCCCTCGCTCTCTCATTCCCTCATTCCCTCACACCCTCACACCCTCGCTTGCTCGCTCCCTCACACTCTCACACCCTCGCTTGCTCGCTCCCTCACTCCCTCACTTCTTCGCTCCCCCACTCCCTCTCTTTCTCTCTTTCTCTCTTTCTCTCTTTCTCTCTTTCTCTCTTTCTCTCTTTCTCTCTTTCTCTCTTTCTCTCTTTCTCTCTTTCTCTCTTTCTCTTTCTCTCTTTCTCTCTTTCTCTCTTTCTCTCTTTCTCTCTTTCTCTCTTTCTCTCTTTCTCTCTTTCTCTCTTTCTCTCTTTCTCTCTTTCTCTCTTTCTCTCTTTCTCTCTCTCTCTCTCCCTCTCTCTCTCTCTCTCGCGCACTCTCTCTCACTCCCTCTCTCCCGAAATCCCTCTCCCTCCCTCACCTCCTCACTACCTCACTCCCGACTCCCTCACTCCCTCACTCCGTCACTCCCTCACGCCGACACTCCTCACACCATCACTCCGTTAGTCCCTCACTCCTTCGCTCCGTCATTCCCTCACTCCCTCACTCCCTCACGCTCACCAACGGGTTGGTCTGGTTGGGATGGTACGGTCGACGGGGGAGGGGTGGAGAGACCAGCGATATCATACAATATGGGTTTTACAGATACACGTTTTGCCTTTTTATGAGCGAGTATTCCGAAATAATACTGATAAGTATTCTCAACAGGGTCGCGATACGTGCCACAGCAAATTGAAAAGACGCAGAGCAAGTGACTGATGTTGATATTTGGAAAGCTTGGACTGTTTTGTAATCTATGTTTTCGACTTTCCACATATTCCATTTGTATGTATTTGTTTGGACTCGCCCGCGACCGTAACGCAAAGCAGTGTGTCCATCTATCTGTGCAATCTTTCGCGGTGCCTAGAAATAAAGCGCGCCAGAGTGACAATGTAAACAGCAATGTTTTGATTCGCGTAGTGCTATCATCAACTGCGTTCTGAAATTGTATAAGGCCAAAGAGCCTGTGACCGCATGAGAAACACAGGCGAATGAGTCTTTTCGTTTGCAGGGTGCAAGTTCCAAAGTCTGCACCAAACATCGTGAAGCACGACAACACCACCACTAGCATGTTAAGGATTGGTTTGTTCAGCTTGACCGGCATCTCCGGGGCATGTATGTGTCCACGGTTTCAATTTGGTTTGAATGATCTGGCGGCTGGGGATGTTGCTGTGTGATGACCGTACGCAGCTACTTATGGTCTGGGCTTGTATCGGGACGAGTGATTGTAGAGTCAGAGAACATGAGACGAATTTGTTCTAAGGGGTTTGTAGTTCACAATCGACCATACACGCTTGGTCAAATGCCGAAGTCAGAATTGAAATTTGTTCCGGTTCTGCAGTTTCACACCAATTGTCCTTCAACATGTCGTTGAAGTCAAAAAGCATTCAGGACAACCTTGATTCCATGACAACCCGAAACCCGAGACGGGGATATGATGATGACACGGGTGGCATTGAAAACTCTTTAGACCGTTACGTTCGTGCGTCGCATATCTGCAACATGCAACCGTTTGAACATGCAAGCTGACATTCACTGAACATGTGACGGAAATTGTGAAAGCTCGTGTTTCGACCATGTTTTTGGTTGTGACATGCAGAACCCATTGTGCTTCCACGGAAGTCTTTAGACTCTCCTCCAGGCACGGTCGTCGCAAAGGCCCGACTTGTCATCACATAGGCATTTGGCTCAAGCCCACCAGAACTTGAAGCAGCCATGGCACCTAAGGCGTCGGCCTTCGGAGTTTTGTTTCTGAGTGCGGCCGCAGCTGAGTCGGGATGGAGTGCATTGAGCCAGCCAACCTTCGGTCGGCGCACACAGGCCTTGCCGGATGGGTTCGAAATTAATGAGACGATGAACGGCAGTATCCCGATCACGGTCATCCCGTCTTGGGATATATTCCTTGGCTTCAGTGACCGCCAGAAGTCCATCGAGGGTCGAATGTCCCTTAACATTGTGTATGGCGAGGAAGCCGAAAATTTCGTTGAGCATCCAGAGAACATGGTGGATGTTGTTAATTTCGGTTCTGGCTCTGGGGACATCAATGTCCTCAGCAAAGTACGCTTATGGGATCCTCAGACTACGAAGACGGCTTCCAGTATCAGCAAGATCTACGCGGGCGACTTCTCGCAATCCCTCTATCCCTATGTTTCTCGGTAGCAGTACTGTCAGCACGCTAGACAGCACGGTACTGTTCGGGCGTTTTGATGAAGATTCACTGGCTCGATTAGAATTGTTCAGGATGTGTGCAATTGATGTTTGATCGCCTCAGGACATGATGTGTTATCCCTTCGACATCAAGACTATGCGCTTCCAGATTAGCCTTCAGAACCCCTGTGGCATCTTCTACCGCCTCGAGTTAGGGTGTGTCGGGGAGAACAGTTGGAAGCAGGCTGTGGATGACGAAGACGGCACGGTCCGCAAGTGCTCCTGGCCTATCAACGCTTCTTTCGTGACCTTCGATTGGCAGAACTTCACTTGCACTTTGCGAGACAGTGTGACGATCGAGTGTTCCATGACGGGGACAAGGCAGTGGCCCGCACTATTGAAGACTTATATGTGGCCATCGGTCGTCTACGGCATGATGGGCTTTATGTCGTTCAGTTTGGGTGTGAAGCTGTCCATGCCCCGCGTTGCCACGACCATGCTGGCCTTGTTGTCGCTGACGAATCTGCGGAATCAGGTCATCGCTTTGTTGCCACTTTCTCAAAAGACGAGCTGGATGGAAGACGCCCAACTTTTCTTCATGCTGTGTGACGTTTTCCGTTGAGTGGTGTGCGAGGGTTCATATGGTTGCTTTGCAGTAGGTAGAATGTCCCGAGCCCAGGAGTACTTCTTGATTGCGATTTCCTTCATGTGCCTCAACCTGCTCGGGCATGCTGCATCCTTTCACCTCGATGCCCTTGGCCGCCACCACACGCAGAGAATGGTGAACAAGTTCAATCTTTGGGGCGTGTTCTCGGTGTTTGTGCTTGTCGTCGTGGCACGGCTGCATGTCAGGGAATGCCCTTTAATCGATCCGACCGTGTCCATGGCCATCACCTTCGCGGCAGCAGCAGTGTGCATCTCAATCATCGCCTTCCTCGTTTGGTACCACCGCGAGGCCTTTCGGGAGGCTGGCCGGAAAATCACCGAGCGGGCCTTGCTGGCAAAATCCTTCGCTTCGGACGACAGATCCGACACGGTCTGAGTGCCGAGGAGGGTTCCTTTGATTTAGGTCTTCGTTTCCGCATAGATGGTCTCCATGCTTTCCGTGAGGCTTACTGATCATTGCTTTGCATGGCCACCTGAGTAATTTTATTGGCCCGCTCCTCGACCCAGCCTGGGGCGGCCCAAGAAGCGGACCAGCCTCAAGGCTTCCGGCGAGATTTCCCCAATGCACAAGCCATTGCGAGCGGATCATAAAGTCCACCGCCCGTTGCTGCCTGCTGTGACACTTTTCGCTCGCCTTGCCAGGGGATCCTAGTCCCAGGAGCCTGCGCCAACAGGCCAGGTAGCAGGAGCAGGATACGGATACGGTCAACACGATTCATGTTCAGTGCTTTTGAGTGGATTGCCGTTGCTGGTAGCACGGAGAATGTCGGTATGCGCTACAAAACCTTGCCCGCTCGCAGCCACCTGTTCATCAGAGCCAGAAGCGGTCATCACGAGTTTGTCACAGGTGCGCCTCTACAGTCCGAGATATGCTGGAGGTTGGTAATGCTGTGTGGCTTGTGAGGTCAATAGATTCATATCTTCGCGCCCTTCAGCCGTCTGTCAAACAGGCAAGCTTTCGCAGTCCCGTCGCTCCTCTTCTCAACTCAGCTTCTATCTCCGGAGTTTCCGCATCAGAGAACGTCTCTCCTTGCCATGGGCTGGTTTTGGGGGTTGGTGCCCCCGGCGGAGCGGCCCAGAGGGCCCCGCAGGCCTTGGGCAGGAGCTCCAGTGGCCCTGGCGTGCTGCCTCGTGGCAAGGCTTTGGGGTTGTCGATGCTGGCTTTCATGGGTGCCGTAACTCGGAGGTACTAGCCGTGGTGATCCGTTCGGTTGTAGTTTCAGACGGCTTCGAACATGCGTGTCCGCCCGTCTGCCTGTCTGCCTTTCCTTTCGATCGAACGCAGGTGTCTTTGGAGCAATGCCGACACGACGGCTGCCGTAAATGCGTTGCCAGCATCTGACAAGCTCGCCAGCAATTCCACCGTAGCGCCCGAGCACATTTGGCTGCTCCCTCTTGAGACGGAGCTCTGGGTGAAGCGCGTTCAGCGCCGGCGCTTGATCAAGATTTTGAATCAGTTGCCACTTGGCGGAGATGTTTAAGCTTGGCTTCCAGCGGGCGGACTCGAAGCCCGTCGTTTGAGTGCTTGCTGCGTCCCGTGGCTGACCAAGGACCGAGACTCGGAAGTACCTCCGCACGGCCAAGGAGCTGGGATCCCTGAAGCACAGTTGACTTGAAGGGCAGCTCCGGTTTGCGCGTGAGGAGCTGGAGCAGCAGGGCCCTGATGGCTCCCACCTGGCATCTCGGCATGGAAGACGACCCTTCGATGTGTGCTCTCCTGGGCCTTGCTGAGGTGAACCAACCTGAGATCCCCGAGATGGTGCAGACGGCTCCACCCAAGGAGCTACCACAGCAGCCCGGCGAATTTGGGCCTAGGTTGGAGACTTTTTCGGGCCTCTACATCAAAACTCGGAGAGCCGCGCTGTCCCAGACGCCCCGCGCACCTCGAATCTTCTTCACTTCATTCTGCAGTTCTTGCCTAGTGCCCTGCAGCTCGCCTTTCAGCTTCGGCCGCAAAGCCTTCCAAACTCGAGCTCTATGGCTCTATGGCTGGTAAATGCAGGTGGATTGAAGGACGGGCCATCCGAGCACATCAGCATACGGGAGTTGGGATTGAATGGGCAGTCCTGTAAACCTTCATTTACAAGTGAACGATGAAGGTTCCGTTCTTGGTGACTGTTCGATGTTAAACCCTGAACACTAGGCCCTGAAGCGTAGAGCTTAAATCCTCAAGAGTGGAGACTGCGTCGACCCACTCGCCCGCTCTGCGTAAAGGACGTGCAACTGCACTTGGATAAAACCGGTCAGCAAAGAGCAAATGGCTGGTTGCCAAAATTATGGTCCCTTTTTGGATCCCTAATATAGTACGGCACCCAATATTTAGGGTACCCAAAAAGGGACCCTAATTTTGACAATCACCCAAATGTCCAAGCCGCCCCTTCTCCTTCTTGCTCCCAAGGCTCTTGGCAGTGGAAGACCGGATCCGTCGCCTGCGCCATCTCCGGCGAATCGCCATGGCACGCAGGCCAGGCAAAGGCAGCAGCGGCAACAGTAACTCCCTGCATCGGGAGGCCGCAAAAGTCCATAATATCATGGGCCATAAACATTGACCGGACGGAAGGAAGCTTCCCGGAAACCTAAAGCCATTGCCCTCGTGTCCTGCCCATGCCCTGGCAGCTGACTCCCAGGGCTGCACGGATGAGCGCCCAGAAGCTGGAGCTGCTGCGAGCGCCGGCGCCCTCCTGAGCTGGAGGAGTAAGCGAGTATGTTCTTGCTGTGCTGCTTCTTGAAATAGTCCTAGGATCTTTCTTCACCTGCGGTTTGCGACAAACGGTACCAGGGGGGGCTTCTGAGTGTTGCGTCTTTGTGTCGGTGTCCCGAGACCGATCATGTTTGCAGCATCTGAGTCGTAGCTTGATTGTTGGGCTGACCGGGGAATGCTGCATTTCGCGGAAAGCAAGTCTTGTCTTAGCATGGCTGGCAAGCGCAGCGGCCTTCAGCGGACGTGCATGTCACCCCCGCCCTGCGCCACACCAGAACGAACAATGGTCCTACTGAGCTTGTGCAATTAGCCGAAGGGTTCAAACTCCGATGCAAGTCCTGCGGAGTCCAGAATCACAATGCTGGGCAAGACCAGCTACAGCATTCAAGAAACGTCGGTCATGGCGGGAACAAGTCGCAACAACAAGAATGGTGGCAACGAGTATAGTAACTGAGTATAGTATAGCAGCTGTACCTCCTGCTAGTAACTGTTTCGAACTCTTCACTCCGTGTCCCGTCAATCGTGAGAGTTGTCACCCATCCCTGATGATGATGATCATCATCATCTACATCGCCATCATCAGCAATGCTGGTGCTAGTTTGACTGAAAGAGTTTGGGGAAGCGTCAGCTCTGCCTCCTCCACATTGAACTCATTTCTGGAGCAAGCGTCCGAGCTCGAGCCCATCAAAACATCAGGTGAAGCATGCGGCCCTGCGTTCTGCACAGTATGCTGCCACTGGCCTTCTGGCCCTGCGCTGTGCCGATGAGGTGCCCCGTGCGGCTACTGCTAGTGACTGTAACAACGACGATTGCATCCATTACCTAAGTATAGGTGTGGGTGTTCTTCTGAGTAGCAATTGCTGTTATTGCTTAGCCAACCCTCTAACAGCTGGATGCTTGGCGGGGCAGGGCATACGAGTTGAAGATCCCCAAAGGCGAGCCTCAAGCCCCGCACGCGGAACTCTCGATAACACAACGGATCTGAGGTGGTGTCGCGAATCAACTGTGAGGCCGGTCTTTGGCTTTGCTTTCGACGTAGTTTTCGGTAACTCTTCAGCACTCTCTTAAGAGAGGGACGAGAATCGATGGCCATGGCTTCGGGGTAGTTTCTCCTGAGGGGTCTCTCTCGCATGCTCGGCTTGCCATCACGAAGCTTGCGTGAAGAGCTCGGCATGTGTAAAGCTGAAGCCCAAAACAGCAGCCTCAGAACGTGGAGTTCGGGGAGGGTTCTTCAAAAGGAAAAGTCGCACCCCAAAACTGCGCGCTCTTGAGCCCGCGAACTACGCCCGAAGAAGGTGGAGGAGCAGCATGCAGCGCAGAGACATGTGGCCGCGCTCCAGAAGAAAGTGGACGCCTGGCTCGGGAGACCGAACCCAAGGTTCAAGAGGCAGAAGGTCGCTTCGACCCTGAACGGCCACCTGCCCGTGCTTATCCTCTAGAGTCTAGAGTATCTGAGCATCTGAAGCAGCTGAGGATTGGGTGGTCAGGCACGAGGGCAGCAATCAGTGCAATGTGAAACCTTGAGCCCTCCAACCTCTAGGGGTGCATGTGCGCGGTATGAGCTGTTGGAGACCAGACCTGCAGGGAAAGGTTTTGAAGACCGTGCTCTGCCTTAGCCACGTCTTCAGATGCGTCCCGTCCAACTCCCCAGGATGCGCGAAAGTGCTTCGCCTCTGTTCACCTACCTCCAGCCCTTCTTCGACTACCAGATGCAGGCGTAGGGCAAGAGATCGCGGATTTGGCGATCTCAGTTGGTACCCGTAGCTCGTTGGTGGCAGGCTGACGGGATCTTGCGTCTCTACAACCCCCACCAGTTCCTTTTCTCCTCCTCAATCATATCACCTCAGCACCATGGCCAGCACCTGAACGCAAGGCACCTGGAAAATTCCTGCCTCTTGCAGGTTTGGGCGATTCGTGGCCTGCAGCGTCACATCTTCTCTTCGAAGGCCTGAACCGAGCAAACCTGAGTCCATCTGCGAAATTAGCACATGTTCCTAGGCTAGCACACGCTTTCCGCAGCCTCATTGGCTTTTGGCTTCTCTGTCTGATACTGTAGGTTTTTCTCGAAAGTTATTCTTGTGGTCGGCTGTCGGCAGACCACAAAGACTCCCCTCGTTCCAGCCCTTGCTTGAGTGCTTTGTGGTATTCTTGTCTCTCCCTGTTGCCACGAGGTGAAGGATGCAGAGAGTAACATGCGGACGCCAGATGTGGCACTGGAGGACTTTCAAAGCTCAAGCTCAAGATGAGAGTCTTGAAGAGTGAGCATCATGCAGCGTGATCACTGGCCGCATTCGGCCCCCTGCGAACTCAACTGGCCTTGCGCCTGCTGCGAGGATGTCGCTGGCATTGGAACGGCCAAGGCAGAAGCTTTGGAGATCGTCGAGTGCCTCATGGCACCTGCGAGGCCGCAGAAAGGGCAACGGGCTCACGGGCTGGAATTGGGGCAGAATCTTGCGGTTGGGGTTGCATCTTCAGGTGCAGTTTCCAGTGTAGACTCCGAAGCCTCAGGTTTGAGGAGTGAGGAGTCTGACACTACTTCTGAGACTGACAATGGTTTTTGGATGCCGCAGGGAGAAATCCCAAAGTTCTTGGTTATTGAAGGCTCGGTCGAGTATGGCCGAGCCTAGTGGGGTGCCAAGTGTTTTGACAGTTCGCTCTCGGCTTCGGCACTTGTGCATGCACAGTTGCGAGATGGGTGGTTTATTCAGTCGGTGAGAGAGGGGAGTCGAAATGCCAAAATTACATTTGAGAAACAGGCATACGTCCCTGGATGTGGGCAATCTGTTTCTTCACCGTTTGACAACAATGTCGGCTGGCAGTAATTCTTCTCCCTCGACCCGAGAAGCCCAAACCCCAAATGGTACCATGGGTCCAAAAGAAGAGCGAGAGAACGGCGGGCCTTGGAGGTTCGCGAGCTTGGGCGCCAAGTGCCCGAAGGGCCTCCTTTTGACCGGCCCGCCCGGTTGCGGGAAGACGCCCGGGGCCCGGCGGCGACTTGCAGGGGACTTCGACTTCATGCTTTTTCTGAAGGGGATGAAAGGCTTTGAGCAGCTCTTCGGATGCTCGCAGCATCGTCTTTTTACAATGACACGGGTGCAGAGGATCCTTGCTCAGCTGTTGAACTGCAATATGTGTGCAGCCTGTGTGCATGTGCGCGCGCGTGCCAGGCTACTGGCAAAAGCCATAGCTTCTACTGCGGCCGTGCCATTTTTGTCACGCTCAGGCGCTGAAGCTTGCAAAGGAAATGGTTGTTAGAGCGCGCAGCATTGCACAGATAGCTTGAAAAGGGCCCCATCTCCCAGCACGGAGAGGCTCCGCTTTCCCAATGCCTAAATCCCCTCAAACCATGACGGCTAAGCACTCTCTGATGCGCCTCTCAGTTCCAAGCCATCTCCACACCTTGCCTTGCTTGTGAACCAACCATCCTCTACCCAGTCGCATTGTATAGTATCTTTCACCTGCATGTTCCAAACCGGTTTCTATGCGCCTGAATTGAATCTCCACCATCTAGTAACTAGAATCTAGTAATCTAGTAATCACAACCAATTCAAGAACCAGCCAAATGTAAACAAGCGACACGCACAAAGCGCCATTTGAAGAGTCTGGTCTGCTCCGGGAGGCGCCGACTTCAACGGTCGCTTCGCAGGTACCGGGACGAACCTGGTGAAGGCCACGAGCCCGGGCAAGAGGGCCGGACGGGACGGGGACGGGTGGGAGAAGAGGGTGGAACCTTCATGATGCAGTCATTGCAAAGGGCACGCGCTTAAAATCGAATCCAGCATTAGCCTGGCCGAAGTTTTGCCAGCAGCCGCGCATCCTCTTCCAAACTTGTGAATGTGCTGTCTCCTGTTGCACAGGAGCTGTTTGCAATGGCCCGCCGCATGTCTCCAGCCGTGATCCTCATCGACGAGCCGGGCCCCGGGCCTCCTACGACTTCTCCTTTAGCATTCGCAGCGCGTCGCAGCGCGTCGCAGCGCGTCGCAGCGCGTCGCAGTTCGGAGATTTTGGGTTTGTGGGGATTGGCCGTGCAGGGCTGGGCCACAGAAGGATTTCAGCAACACGCTTCGAGTCGGCCGTGCGGAGCTTCGTCTCGGCTTCTGTCGCTGCAGAGCAGACGAAGCTTGCCATGCGGGTTGACTGTGGGTCACTTTGAACTTCTGTGCACGAAGACTCTTGCTTCCATACTTCCATGGTCTTGACCCCAGTCTCAAAAGACGAGCCCCAGCGAACAGACGCAGGACGCCCTGCGACGCCCTTCCATCCTGCCTGGAGATCAGAGCCTCAGAGCCAAAGCT